TCATAAATTAAATACTGGCCAGTTCTGTTAATTACCAAATCAAGTCCCTAGGAACACTCCAATAGTAACTTAATTTAAATATAATAACTTATTCTAAAAATATAACAAACACATACCCTTATGCATAAATATAAATACACCTAATAGCTAGCTTCAATTCAGGAGTTAAACAAGACAATAAATATTTCTATCTCAGGGCTCAGAACTGGATATAATTAGTCATTCACTCCAATTCCTTATCTTGCCAGAGTCCAAGGTCACAGGTTCCACTTGATAGTGACCGATGCCGCCCGGCCGTCCGGGGTGATTCAAAGGGTGTGAAAATGAAAGTCTACTCACCGAATAGAAGCACCGACAACGACACACAAAGGACGTATTGTCCGTGTACGGTCCACAACCGAATATCACAGCGCAAGTGTGACCCGCGCGTAATGTCCTCTAGGTGCAAACAACGGTGCTGACACCCGCAATGGTCCAACAGTCCTGCAGACGATCACACTCGTGGATCAGCAAGGTCACCAGTCAATGCCAAGACGCAGGTCCAGGGAAAAAGCCCTTAAAACAAAATCACTCCAGAATAGTCTTTACTCCAACAATATAAATTAAATAGGCTACCAATATATTATATACAGTTCCACACAATAGCCTATTTGTATTTCTTATCCAGTCGCAGCTTAAGTATTACTGACACTTTAGTAATCAGCTTATATCTGAATACATTATTTATTAATAGTTTACAAAACACTCTTGCTCAGTTTCTAATGAGAACCTAGTGCACAGTGATAAATACTGTACTTTAAAGTGAATAACCAATGTTAGGGTGTAATATGTAATAACTCAATAGGCTAGGTATCAGTAAGACTGACAATTGTTACTCTAGCTTTGCCTGAAATTACTCATTACACTCTAGAACAATAATAATACCTAAGAATGGGTTTATAATTAAATAACATCATTAAATAACATGCTGTACATATTGAGAGATTAAGTAAATAGCCTACAATAAATAATTTATCAACGTGGTTCACAAATCATATTTACACCTCAACCTCATATTAACATTTTATAAAAAAATAGCTATCCACAATCAGTTCAATGACTACGCTATATCTTGCTTTATTATAATGTTAGCAGAACAAAAAGGTTTAGTACATTTTGTCCCTTTGTTTGCCTTTTGTTTTGTGTAGTCAGTTTTGCAAGATTAATTATTCTAGCACGGTTAAAATAGCAATATAAATATCATGGCAACAACATGCATAAAGTTCATTCTAATATTTACATTTAAAATACTAACTAATATTTACATTTTGTTTGTTTGTTAACCTTAGCACTTTTTCAGTTAGAAGGTTCTAAACTAATTACTTCTGTTTTACTTAGTGTAAAACCATTAATTAGTATCTCGTTGTATTTAATTAAATGTTTGCTCACAAGTTCTGACAATCTCATTCTATGCCCAAGGCTTAGTTTAGTTTTATTAAATACTTCAATATTAATGATTAGGCAAAATTAGCTGTACTACTCATGAAACTCAAGTATAACATTTTTATAACATGGTAGCGGCTCACCTTAGCCAAATTCCAAATTAGGCTCACAAAAATCCAGCGATGCTGAAGGGCTTGATGTCGGTTACGGCTCTCTACCTGAAGTCTCGTGCACGCTCTCGTCTCTCTCTCTCTACTACTACTTAATGTAGCAGACTCTCTACTTCCAATGTCGACTGGACAACGCTTGACGGTCAAAGGTTATGTAGCTTCCTTATCGCTCACGGTAGCCGTGGCTGAGCCTCAAATCAACAGTTACAGCTGGTGTTCAACTCTGATTCCTCTGTTATTGTTGCAACAATGAAAGCGCGCTTTTTCATTTGGCTGTCTAATCATGTCATGTAGAGTGATCAGTTCTACATAACTATTGCATTGGTAAAACAGAAAGTCAATGTCACAATGTAATGTAGTACATTTTTTTTCCTAATTTTGCATTTGTCAATTACATTTTTCATCTCAATAATACATTTCAACCACAACAAGTCCTAACTTAATGTTTGTTGAACATTTAAAACACAAATATTGTTCTATTGAATACTGTTGAGTATAAAATCAAGATTTTAAATTTACTAATATCTACGATCAGACGTAAACAGTTAGTGATAATATTCTAATAATTGTTATTGGTGAGTTTATCTGTTCAGGATAAAACAGTTTGTGAGTGTTGTTTCCTTAACTAGTGTAACTTTACTAGTGTTGGCTACAAAGCTTCAGCTGGTTATTATACTAACATAATGAAAAATACTACTCGAAGCAAATCAGATTGTCGTGATGGCTATTTACTCATTGTATCGCATAGGTGTTGGTAACTAAAAAAGATAAACTATTATACATTAAGCTGTCCGTCAATACAAATTACGACCCTATATGATGATTAAAGACAATGAAGTGCCGTAACAGTAAAAGTGACATAAGCAAGCCTTTCAATTGAAACGAAAGTGTAAATATGTACAGAGACTTAAACGCTCCAGTAACACAGAAGTCGTTTTTTTCGGACATTGATAAAGTAAATGGACCTTGCTAAATAATTTACTGGTCTTAGTCAGTGAAAAGCTGAAAATATTCATCTCAAATGTATACACACAAAGTGCGCTTAACTCCAAGTGAAACATCACGATGACGTCACGCTTGATCAGCTGGAGTTGCAATATCCACCGGACGGCGCGTGTCTCGTGTGTTCGTTACTTGGCAAAGTTTAATTCGTGTAATTTAAATGTTGTATTCGTATTCGTGTATTTTGCGTGTAACAGAAATTATATATATTGACAAAACTCATCCACGGATGAAAGCACTTTCATCTCAACGTTCGACATCCTGAAGATGTGCCCCAGCGGCAGCGGCTGTAGTTGATTTTAACTACATCAAGGATCGTTTGATGCAAAAGGTAACGTAAACCACTTTATATATCAATTTTTGATCCAAAAACCCATCATGAAAATCGGTATTGCCCTTTTACACAATTACATGAATGGCATCGTCAACAAAACATAATGTAACAACCGTACATCATTTAATGGTCCGATGGCTGGTGAGATTATCTACAAAATCATTTAAATCAAATACACTAAGTTTCAATGGAGTTTAACATAAAGTATACAATTCTTAAAATCTAAAATATTACTAACTTAATAGTTGTCTACAAAATGTTAATGTTATATTCATATTCTTGACAAAATTGATCATTGCAGACAAAAAACTTTTAGATTGGTATTTATATTCATCCTTGTATATCAATACATTTATGTACATAAGTAATGTTAAATGTATCCATGCACAAACATACGTTTGATATTAGTACCAGGGCAGGCACAGTAACTAAACTGAAATACATTTTACTTCGTGGAAGAAAACAATCTTAAGTTTATGAAAAAGTATAGGATTTTTATTTTACTTATTACAATGGGGGTAGGTATAGCACAACTTTTTAAAGTCGCTAGCTCCTTTACCTAAATACCAAATCTTCACCGTTTCAGTTAAAAGGTTGTTGCTTAACATATTTTAACACTAATAATTTTTTTCCATATCTAAAACTGTAGGGGTTTTGAAGAAAGACCGCATTGGAAAAGTAACCAAATCCTAGATAATACCACTATCGACCATAAACGCTGCAGCTATTTAAGTCATCTTTTATTTTCGAGATGATTTACAAACAGTAACCATCCGTATTTATGGTATTTGCAAAAAGAGGTTATAAATAATTTATAAAAAAAAGTATACCGCGTTTTTTAAATACAACTAATTACTTTCTGATACATTTTTACTTTATTATATATTTTTACTTCCTCCCTATATACCTGGTATTTTATTTAACAAGTAATTTAGTTTCTAAAATGCCTCTGCTGTTTTGGCACTTTCAAATAATACCTCCTTGAAAAGTGTTAATCAGAGCATGTAAACTTTTTTGTTTGCTTTTTAGTGGAAAAAGGAGTTTGAATATAAAGTTTGAAAGGCACTAAAATATCTAAAAATCTATTTTACAGCCATTATGGAATATTAAAAATATTCGTCAATGGAAACATTTTACGTTGAGATTTGTTTTTCTGGAATCTTTATAAATCTACCTGTACAATGTAATCAAACTAAAGCATAAATGACATTTTCGCACCTGTAAATGTTACATAAATGGTAGCTTTTATATCTTGGTTACCATTAGTCTATCATGCATTTTGAGTTTCACAGAACATCTTAAATGGGGAATTTTCCAAATTTAAAGTTTTCTGTAAAGGTTTATTGCATTACAAACTTCTGGTGGGAAACTATAGATATAGATGATTGCATATAGGCCCAATTGAAAGAAACCCCTTATATTTTTTAAATGCTTATAAAAAAGTGCAAATAAAATATAAAAAAGATTCTTACAAATGGAATAGAAGTTTGACAGAAATTGAATTTCTATAAAAACTCTAAACCAATCAAGAATATTATTTTGTGATTATCCTAACATGCTTTAATTTCAGAACGCTTTGTGATGGTAAATACCATTATGTCTTATTCCTCAAATCATAACAAAAACCTAATACAAAAGAAAAAAAAACACAAAAAAACAACTTAACAGTTTTTCTAAAACTTTACATAGCTCATGAAAACTATCATGCTCTTTTATGTTTTGGAAATGTATTAAACACCGTTATAAAATACTAAAGAACACAACAGGAAACAAATCAGATAACATACCTACCTATATCCTGTTTAATACCTCTAATGACAGAAAATCCCTCGCGCAAAACACCACCATCGAATGAAAAGAAAATACGCCAGATAGAATCGAATATTAATCAATTACACGATCGCACATCGGATTCAGGGAAGATGAGTTAATTCAAGGTGTTTATCGATCCTTTCTAATCTGACAAGAGTTGACGCGCGAAAGGACGGTGTTTACAGGAGCTAACGACGTCTAGATTGATAACAAAGGTAAATGATCGTGAAGTGTGTGAAGGCTTGGCATTACAGCACATCATGGCGACGATAAAGGTATGTTGGGTTTAAGCTGGATAATACCTAGGCTTACCGATGGATTGGAGGGTCGGTATTAGTTAGGCTTAGACACTTATATATTTAATGTTAAGTATGTTTCAAATCGACTTTATTTTAGAATTTGAATACGCTGAGTAAACTATTTTTTATATTCTGGAATCTGATCATTATTTTATTTTGAAAACAAATACTGCCATTAATCAAAAATAATATCAGGGTTTGTTTTGTATGATTATAATGGATTGTGTAGATTAACTAAATTTCAAATGTACAAAATTTTTGGGTAACTGGGCTGATTAATTAATTGTAGTAGATATTTTCATATTTAATAATTAAACTTCAAAGATCCAGGTTTTGTATTTTTAGTCAATTAAATGAATTAAATCTTATTCCGTATTAAAATTTCGATTTATTATCATAATTGAAAACAGTATTTTCCTTTGATAAACAATCCTACCTTAATTTTTAGGAGTATCCTGTTAATACATAGACATATAGATATACATTTCTTCAGATTTTTACCCTATAATAGTTTAAAATATAACATCCTTAACACTATTAAGGAGGTTGTCCAAATACTTGTCTGGGAATGGTCTGGGGTTTGTCTGGGGGGGGGGGGGTCGGGGATTGTGTTAACAAATTCTTTCAAAACTTCTTACGGGAACTATGTTAGTTTACAGATTTTCTTAAATAAAAAAAAACACATTTATTTATAAAGCTTTAAAAACCACAGCTGTTTGTTTATATTCCATCAGCAATGTAATTTAAACCATCCAATGGCATCCGTACCTGTCGTTTATGTAAAACTAAGTAGTCAATAAGTACTGTACAAAATGAACAGATTTATTCGTCACGTTGAGTAATATTTTACGGTTATGAGGTTTATGTACATTTTATTTTGATTTTGTGTTTACAAAATTCAAAAATTAAATGTAACGAGCTGTTGGCCCGTCCTACGTACGGGAATCGAGTAGTCAATTAAAACTGAATATGATTCAGAACAGCTAGTTTACTACTTGGTGGCCGATTCACACACACACACTGGCTTTGAGTACAGTAGTTACATACCACCTTCGACTGCATAGGCCTACTATCACTTACCGTACCTTATTTTACCACCTTGGCCATTGGGCTACATCCAAATTCACCAACATTTTTGGGGTCGTTTCTAATGTCCAAATTCACCAACTTTCTACCTGTAGCAGGTACGATATTTCTCTCGGCGGGCGGGGAAGGAATTCCGAATAGTTTTCCCTCGCCTGCTCCGTCTCGTCTCGGCGAGAGTGTACTGCTTAGCCCCAATAGTACTGTTTAAGCTGCGATTGTTTCAGGCAGCTTTAGGTTAGGTTAGGTTAGGTTAGGTCAGGTTAGGTTAGGTTAGGTTAGGTTAGGTTAGGTTTGGTTAGGTTAGGTTAGGTTAAGTTAGGTTAGGTTAGGTTACAGTACACTCTCGCCGAGACGAGACGGAGCAGGCGATGGCAAACTATTTGGAGAGAATTCCTTCCCCGCCCGCTGGGAGAAATATCGTACCTGCTAAAGGTAGGAAGTTGGTGAATTTGGACATTAGAAGCGACCCCAAAAATGTTGGTGAATTTGGACCTGGCCGGCCATTGAAACCTCTAAAATGATCCTGGACTCCCGTTCTCTTATATCCCCTGCCATTTCTAAGGAAGATACCAGTCTGAAGATGGCTTTCATTACTTGGTCTTCCAAGTGGTCGTCTACATTGTAGTACTCCTTGGAATACACTTTTAAAAGTTGAAGTATCTTCTCTCCGCCATGCAAAGCCTGCCCAGCCCATCCGAGATCCGAGCCTTTTGGAATGTACCCCTTTATCGAGTTTCTGAATCATACAGTACTACTGGGATAGTTATGATATAGTATGAATCGATTTTGGTTTCTACTGACACCCTGCAGCTTACTGGTCAGTTTTCTGGAGACCTACTACACCGGTTGACATTTTCATGTGTACTGTATGCAGTGATATTATATTCAAACATCTAGAAAAAGATGTATCAACACGTAAACCACTTATATCTTAAAGGTTAAGCACTTATACTGTACTTAGACGGATTGCATTTATGACAAAACTTGATTATACGTTTAAAATGTTTAGTTCAATATTACACAATCTCCTGATAACATAGATCTTTTACGGTAGGTAATAAACTACATTTTAAAGTGAAATAGTGTGTAGGCAAACTCTGGATCAATATTTTTGTATACAAACAACTTGTAACATAAACATTTCAATGAAAGTTAGAAACCAGCTGTTAGTTAAACCACCACTAAAACGACTTTAACTCGTCCGTCGGCTGCTAGACTTTTTGAAAATTAAAACCTAATTTCTAAAAAACTGGGACCCTAAACTAAAACTATGGCTTCGACATTCCCTAGTTCTCAAAATTATCTTTCTTTCAAAACAAAAATCATGAAAATCCGTCAAGTGGTTGATTCAGAATCGTGAAATAAAAACCCTGTTTTGTTTTAATATTATAGATTACTATGTTGATTGGTATTATTATCAACAGCTGTTAAATATTTTAATATTTTGCTTTCGCTTTCTTATGTATACAGTTTAGTTATTGTGGATTATGAGAATAATTTTAAACTTTCAGATCACATCTGTTTACACGCTATTTCAGATTTTGATTTTATTTTAGTACATTAAAAGAAATTAACATTGATCAAATAAGGTTTTGTAGTAGGGTTGATTATTTTCCAAAACACAACTTCTTAAAGAAAACAATTTTCTCTGTCAATTCCTCCCCCCTCCCTTGCTAAGCACGGGTACATTGGTGTTAACGGGTTGTATTACCATGATTAACTTTAAGAGAAAAAAAGAAAAATTGCTAAAACAAATTAAAAAATTGTTAACAACCATTTTTATATGTCGTATTCTTTTATTTTCTAGTCGTTCCTGTTGGGGCTGCTGGTAGTCCACCATACCCGATGGTCCTTGGCACAAACCCAGACTTCTGTCTCTATCTCTGCCAATGGACAGCGTCCCATCGCCTACAACATCGTCAGCGGGCCCGCGGACGCCACCGCTATCGCCGGGTCGTACGACAGGTTCGGGCAGTACCAACAAACAGCCAGCTACGTCCGACCTGGGGTAGGGAAACGAGACGTCCCCATTCCGGTCATACCGTTTAGACCTAGGACCAACGCATTCTCTTTCAGTACTTCTGAACCTGCACAAGGACCGTTTGGTGGTCAGGGAGAAGCCTTTGCCCCGCCACAAGGAGCATTTGCTCCCGCCAGTAACGCGGCTCCTTTTAATTTGTATGGTCTTCCTGAAAGCTCGTCTTCGGGTGATGATTTGTCGACTATTTATGTAGGCAATGCTCCTGCTCCTCAGCCGGTGTATGGACTTCCAGCTGCAGCACCACCTCCACCCCCACCACCACCCCCACCACCACCGCCACCACCACCTCCACCTCCTCGACCACCACCACCACCTCCGCCACAACCGGCTCCAGAGTATGGTCCTCCTGCTCCCTACTCTCCTCCGGCCTTTGCCCCACCACCTCCACCTCCACCACCTCCACCACCACCACCACCACCACCACCCCCTCCACCTCCACCTCCTCCACCAACACCACCACCACAACCGGCTCCAGAGTATGGTCCTCCTGCTCCCTACTCTCCTCCGGCCTTTGCCCCACCACCTCCACCACCTCCACCACCACCACCACCACCACCACCACCACCACCACCACCACCACCACCACCACCACCACCACCACCACCACCACCTCCTCCACCTCCTCCACCACCGCCACCACCACAACCGGCTCCAGAGTATGGTCCTCCTGCTCCCTACTCTCCTCCGGCTTTTGCCCCACCACCACCTCCACCTCCACCCCCACCTCCACCTCCACCCCCACCTCCACCTCCACCTCCTCCACCTCCTCCACCACCTCCGCCACCACCTCCGCCACCCCCACCTCCACCACAACCGGCTCCAGAGTATGGTCCTCCTGCTCCTTACTCTTCTCCGGCTTTTGCCCCACCACCTCCTCCACCACCACCGCCTCCACCACCGCCTCCTCCTCCACCTCCACCTCCTCCTCCACCACCAAGACCCCACAGCCAGTACGGAGTCCCTGATAGTTTTAGAGAAGAATTTTCTCCACCAGCTGGATCTAGTTTTGCAAACGCAATCTTCGTCCCCGCACCCAGCCAAGATGTGCAGCCTGAGGGGGAGTTCGCGCCCCCGGCTTCAGGATTTATTCCCCCTGAAGGTGCCCTTCTATCTCCTCCGGCAACTTTTGGAAACCAGATAGTACCCAGCCCAAGATATCCTTTAAGAAGATCGGGGTAGTAAACCCCACTGTTATGTTTGTAATTTGAACTTTGTACATTTTATACAATACATGTTGTTACGTAATATGTTTATTTTCATTTTTACCTGATCAGAAATAATAATCTGACATCTTTAAATATTTTTTTATATCACACAAAACTTAGAGCTAAATAGAATATTTGGCGTCATGTGTCCACCACACGGAATAATATAATACAAGTATAATAACACCATTCATTTTTATTTATAAATTAATCTATATGCAGAGATTTCCAGATAATTAACTTGATTTTCCACAATCACTAGAAAAAAACAATTTTATTAGATTTAGTATAACATTTAGTTTACATTATCGACGGATTGTGTTTTGTTTTACTTTTTGCAACTGCTATAAAAATATGAACTTAAAAAATGTTGACACATGTATTTTTTGGATGAATTGTTATGTTGTTATTACAGAATAATATTTTGTAGTATTTTACTATGATTGAGTATGCTTTTCTTTTGTGAGTAATTAAATAATTTTCTGCTCAGTATCGAATCTTTTTCTCTCCATTTTTGACTTTTAACAATTTTATTCCTAGATATGGTGAATAAAGACTCTGTATTGCAATATTTCAAGGTAAATACCACAAACATAGCTGAAAACCTTTTAGAACAATGATGTTAGGCATTTTCGTGAAAACACCAAGTCACTGTATAAAGAATCAGTTAACATATTTATTTAGAATCATGATGTACTGTATTATTAATCTAGCTGATGACACAATTTTTTCTCTGTTAATAAATGATTTTTTTACATGATTGAATCATTTTAGTTCACACATCCTCTAGAAATGTATTAAATAAAATGTTAAGTACCATAAACAGCACCAACACCATAGAAAATCTACTCTTTGTCATAGTATCAAGATCATCCTGGCAAAAAGAAACTCGCTGCAGTAAGTTTATTTTCACTTTTATGAATATTACTTGAGGGTTTTCAATATTGAGTTTCCTGGTCCACTTAAAACTTGTGCAGACAAATAATCTAGTTTGGATTGAAGTGAAAGGAGGTTCGCAAGTATTCATTGTGTATTGTGTGCTGATAATCTATTTTTGGCAAGTTCAAAGCTCTCTAAGAAAAACATGGTTCACCACACAGAGTAATAAAGGCCTGTAGAGATATTTTTTCAGGTATAACTTTTCAATTTGTCTGGTTGAATATTATTCCGTCTAAGTCCTAGACCTAGACCTAGACATGGTAGACTCAGAATGCCTTTGTAATGCACAACGGCTCCAGGGGTGGCTTCGACCATCGGCTGGTGAAAAATGCCATATTTTACACTTAAGCCGTTTTGCCGTCCAACTTAGTCGGCTGGAAAATTCCCTTCCTTATTACCTACGAGCCTTACTATAAAGTACATCCATCTAATGAAAAGTGTTATACCGTAAAAGTACGGAACACTGTATTTGGATAGCCAAAAAGATTTGCATTTTATGGTGACGAGAAGTTGGTGTGTTAAAAAAACAAAAAAACTAAAGTTTTATTGTATAAAACTCCTCTGTGGTAAAAAAAGAATATATATTATGTAAAGGGCTTTATAAACACTAAATGGGTTTAAAATAACAAAATTTATTTAAATATAAAGTATTAAGTAAATTCATTTGACATGGTAGTTGACATTTTTTGTGTTTTATACTGTTATAAAGCTATATACTTAGAAATAAAACACGATTACTTATGTTAGGACGATTCTCACTTACTAGGGGACCCATATGGGCAAACTGTCTATTTTAATAAGGCTTAAAGCTTGATTCCAAGGTAAAAATAACAATGCCCTTTAACTTTTCAAAAAACTAGATGTACCCCATAAAGGCTGAAGAGTTATTTACCTACCGCAATCAAGTTTCAATGATCCAAAAAGTAGCTTATTTAATAGTATATTTCATACCTAGGGGCGAAAATGAGGTTTTGCCGGCTCGAGATAGTTTTTAAGTTCGAGACGAAGTCGAGAACTTAAATCGATCGAGAGCTGCAAAACCATTTCGGTCCGTGGTACGAACGCTATTTTTCACCACACTATACCCTATTACCACTATTCACCACTATAATAATGCACACTGATAGTCAACACAACTACAACCTTAAAGGTTATGTGAAGAAATAATTTGAGGAATCAGCAAAAATAAAAATAAATAGTTGCTAGGCAACGGTGACAATAACATAATTTTATTGCAATGCTATGGATTTTGATTGTGTATTTAAAATGCATTCATGTTTTAAGTAAGTAAGCGGACAGCTGATTTTGCGGCCCCGGCCTGTAAAAACCTGCTCGGTCCCCAAATTACGATGACAGCTGGCATGGCCAGCAAAACGTAACTTTCAGCCACCAATTAACGTATGTAATACAGCCAAAAACATCATAGTGTGGTGAAAAATTTATTTTCATAAACTGTTTTGTCTGTCTCTTGTGTACAATCTAACTGTATTCAAGTGAAGGATCAGCTGTTGGATTACAATGAAGAAAGTTGGTCAGGAACAGTGAATCTTTTAAAGTAAATTCTAGAAATAATTTTAATGCAATGGGACAAAACCCTTAAGTAAATTATTGCCGTTTTCGTTACCATTAGCAGGTACGAAGCTTCATTTAAGGGCCATAAGCCTTAAAATGACACACAAATCGTAAAAATTGGTCCAGTGGGACAACTGAAAAAGAGATGTTACAGATACATCTTTATTGTATTAAATATGTAAATTGACCATCACGTATTATTTACAACTTCATGACATAGGTCTGATGAAAATTATAAAAGGGAAGATTATTTGAATTTTTATACAAAAGGAACTAACAAGAACTCACCTATATTGTATCAGACGGTGGTTTAGCATGTTCTTTATAGAGGTTATGATAATTAAGTTTTCTTAATAGTTATCTTTTCTATGTACTATGGTATTTTTAATCTTTTAAATGTATCTTCATATAGGATGTTATAGGATGTATATATAGGCTGTTATAGGATGATATAGGATGGATATAGGATGTTTTCGTCTTTCTTCTGTGAGAAAGCTTAGATTAGTTTAGTGTGTTAAATGGTAGAAGAAAACCCCGTTAAAAAGAAATCTTTTTTCGTTGTTCATATTTTCCATCCAAACGGTAAAGGTTTATGGAATAATTCTGTAAAAATTTGCAAAGTAACTATTACTGCTAATAACTATTATTTCATGAAATATTATTTAGTCGTACTAACTTCGTATCTTTTAGGTATTATACGCAACGTTTTCAGTTTTGTAAGCTTAAGGATGTCATACAATCTCGAAACTTGATACTAATCTTAGTATCAAGGAAACATCATTAGTGGCCATTGGAGTTGAATAGGTTAGTATACAAATCCTTGATTGGGGTTTATCCTTGTTTACATAGTTTGTTATGCAACACCTTTAGACGATTTGAAGCATGATGAACAAAAAAAGGAAACATTTCCATCCATATAAGCAGGCATTTTTAATAAGGAAACTCTTTAATTATTGCTAGATCTAATAAAATGTAACACAGCGCCTCGCAAGCAAAATAAAATAAAATTCATGACACAAAAAGTCAAAAATATTTCTATGGTTGGCAAAATTTAAATATACAGTAGTTCCGTTAGTATTACAATATTTTAACTATCTTTAATTCATACTTGGGATAAAATACATACTTTGCATGGTCGCTATTTTAATGAAAAGTTTTAAATTATTAAGTAACAAGTTTTATAAATATCAGATTTTATTTGTCATTAAGAAATAGGTATAGTTCAAATATTTATTAGTAACAAATTTACCTGAAAAGTGTCTTCCACTGCCCTGAAAAATGAGGCATTTAAGGGGCAGCATCTGGGTAAGCATTTCATGAAAATTATAGAAAGATACACATTGCCACATTCAGTAAAATATTTTTTCCAATTAGAGGAAGTTCTCCAAAACACAAACAGTACTTCTCACCTGAGAAAACTCTAGCTTTTATGTTTCCACATAAATTTGCCTACAGCTTTAGGTGGGTTCCGTACATGTGGGTTACATTTTGCATGACCAAAGCCAAAATCCATTGGTGATTTGTAGGATTCGAACCCGGGTCAGAAAACAAGTCTCTTACCACTAGTTAAACCATATTGTACATACATATGGTGAAATCCATTCATAGATCAACACAGAATACAGTTTCATTATTATATCCCTCGTTACACGCAATATTTGAGATTTGTTTGCAGTTTGTTAAAAAGTGCTGGGACGGTTTAATATATTCTAACCGTCGTATATACAATACTAGCTGTACCCGCGGGCTTTGCCCCGCTTAACTTCATAAGTATTCGCATGGCTCAATCACATCCTGGTTGAAGTTCGTTCGCTACGCTCACTCATCTTCAGGTTGGAAATCGTTCGCTACGCTCACATGTTTTCAGGTTAGCTCGTTCGCTACGCTTACTCGCCTCCAGGTTGATGTTCGTTCGCTACGCTCACTCACCTTTTGGTTGCAAATTAGCGGTTGTCATAAATTGTTTGCTAAAGGTTTTTATGTTTTAATATTTAACATTGGAGAATTTAAACGTTGTTGACTGCACAGGTGTGCTGCGATTGGGGTTTAATACATTTGGACTTATTCAAAAGTAAAAAGTTCTCTGTGCTGCACTCTGTAGAAACACTGTGGCACTATTTCAAATCATGACTAATAAATGCTAATACAGAATGTTGTGATTATTCGAACCTACAAAACAGTTGGTGAAAGTAAACATCTGCTTTTAAATTATATTTATTTGTAAACATTGTAGATCAAAAAGTCTGACATTGGCCCACTTAAAACCCTCTGGGGCAGAGCCCTTTTGACGGATCTGCACCAAACTTTACTCGAACCATCCTTGAAAGATGCTTAACAATCCCTGAAAGTTTCATTACAATTTGTCGAGCGGTTTTGGAGTCCATAACGTATATACATATATACACACATACATACATAGTTCCTCTTTTATAGATATAGATAACTGGATAAATTGATATACCTATGATAGTAATAAAAATCCACCTTTTGAGGAACTAAGAATTTTTTATTTTAGGCCTATCTTATAAGGATTGCCCACGAGAAGTGAAACAAAGTCTTAAATTTAAGCGTAGGTCGATATGAACACCAAATTAAAGGGCTAAGGATTAATAAAATAAGGGGCTAAGGTTAATAAAATATAATGCTGTAAATTTGAGCTCAAAAATACAAAATTGGAAGCCACTCAAATATTTCTTGAATTTGTAATTTTGAATTTATCAACGGCTGCTATATTTTACTCAGTCGAGCTCAAAGTTGCGGCATTAAACTCTACTAGTAAAGAAAGACCTTTAGTTTTATGTGCATGAACTTCTAGCGAGTGCCCTTAATATTAAGAGGTACAGTAGTAAATATATATGCGTACCTAATATCAAAAGTAGTAAATTCAAGAAATTTTTGAACGGCAGCAAAAATGTGTTTCTTTTTTTTAGTAGACATTGTGTTAGAAAAGTCCCAGATAAGTTAAATATTTCAAGCAATAATAAAGATAGAACTACCAAACACAAATAAAAAATAGACTGTTGTCCGCTAGAGTTTGGGTTTACGGAATTTTATTTTACCAACAAACACATATAATTTGATTTGTATACGAACTATTCTTACATTTAACATTTTCTTCTGACTCCTAGCGGGAGCCACCTAAGGACGAAATAACATCACATAATGATGTTTTAAAATGCTTTTAGTGAGGATTATATTTGTTTTTTTGTTATCTATCTATATATTAATAGGCAAGCATGTTTCTTTAAAACCTTTTTTCTCAGCTCGTGTGTATCGTAGGGAAAATCTACGCATACCGTTAGAAAGCTATTTTCCTGTAGGTGTGCAGAATCCCTTTATAAATTAAAATAGGCTCGAAAATAAGCACAAAAAATGAATTTGAAATTTTAAAAAATTAACATGGGTCATATGGGTTGCTATGGTGATGACAAAATAACAACAAAATATAAACAGAAAATCAAAACAAATGGAAGACATTTCAATCACATGTTTTATTTACAGTGTGGGGTGAAAATAGAGAAGTTTGCACAAAACATACTTTTGGTCGATTTTTCGACCACGGGGCGTACTCTCGTCTTTATTATTGCTTGAAATATTTAACCTATCTAGGACTTTTCTAACACAATGTCTACTAAAAACAAGTGCCCCTTTTTTTAGTGACATCAAAAGCATGGACGCCTAATAGATGGTTGACAATGTAGAAGGATGTATGGTAAAGTGTACCAAAGTAACTATTTTTACATAAAACTCACGAAAAATCTGTTATCGTAAACAAAACTGTTACTTTCAAGAAATTGAAGTAGAAATTTCCTCATTGCATAAAAAAAAATATTAAGGAAGCAATTTAAAATCTAAATTATCTGAGAGTTCTAAATCTTTTAATAATTCATATATTTTCATCGTAACTAACTTAATCGTATATTTTTATAAATGATATGTTGGACATAGAGAGTTATTCTTCAAAATGAATTGGAGAATATCCTACTTTCATTATAAAATTAGGTTGATGGGTATCTTTTATATACATATAAAATGAGTATTCTGACAAGCTCTAAAAAACCCTCAAGTTTATTAGTAATTTATGTAGTTTTCATGACTTTTAGGGAAATTAATTCTTGAGAGTACCAAGAGATTTTCCGATGGGAATATAACTAAAGCAGGAACCCGGCTGAATGTTTATCAATCAATATTATTATCTTCTTAACATGACAGCTACAACAGTTCGCTTGGTCCCGTCATTTATCAAACTGTTTGTCTGTTTTCCTGTTAATTTGTTTAAACTGAGTGTAAATTCATTTATAGGTTACTCAAATTTTGTGTTCTCAGGTTAACACAGTTAAGCAAAAGCAAAAGCAAACATTATGTAATGGAAACCAAAAGGCAATTTTAGCGGAAACGCCTTTGATACGAGTAATTCAGTGTTTTCGTCCTTGTGAAGTATTTGTCTAAATCCTACACTACTTTCCCTTGTAATTATATAAATAACACCAATCTTGGATTAGGATAATGATATTATCGATGTTTCTCGGGATTAGTGACAACCTGGACTAGCTTACTGTGCTATGGCTCTCGCTAAAGTAAGTATTGAGGTTAGCGTTATTATTTACTTAAAGTGGATATTGGTAGAATACATACAAGTGGAATGTAAACAATAGCTAACAGGGGTCAGTAATTAAAAAAATCAATGTATTGTGTAAAATCTATTTTCCTAAATTTAAAATAATACATTTTTTGTTTATGTGACGTTGTGGTGTCAAACAAGGGTTTCAGCCTTTTCCAAAACAGTTAAGGTACAATACACTATGGAAACCACTTATTAAATTACATCAATCTCAGTTAATAATCTATTATTTCATTAAGAGCCAACAAAAATTGACTTTAAAAAGTGGTTGTTTGGACTCAACAAAATTAATTTAGTAAACGTAGGCACAAATTAAAGGTTAGAACATATTTGATTATAACAGAATGTAATTACCAAACACAGTATGTAAGAAAGTTTTACAAGTAGGTTGTACAAAATAAACGTATCATGTTAACTTGCAAAATGTTTTACGTTTGGATTACTCGTAATTGGTGCCATACTGAGAAAATGTAATGCATGTATCTTTTCAAAATATATTCCTTGCATATTCCCCTCTAACTCACTCTGTTATTTGCCACAATTACTAATCACAGAGTGAGCAGATGAGTGGATATAGTGCTGGTCTAGTGATCAAAATGTCACCGGCTCGATCCTGAGAAATGTGTATAGCTTTTTGATAATTTGAAACTGGTACCAGCTGTCTATGAACATTCGGCTTAAATGGTCCTGGCCAACGGACTAGCAGCTGATATTACTTAGTAACAAAGCTTAATTTTAAAATACACAACTAGGCGTACTCCCTATCTAAAATAATGATGATAAATAATGATAGTTTCAATATACTCGTTACTGACAAGATAGGATATTTTTCATCGGAATGATTGTTTAACTTTTTAGATTTAAAATTTATCTCTGCACTTTTGTAAGTTTTGAATCGTAGATTCATAAAAATGCAGTGACACAACTTTTGAGTTTTTTACAAAAATGAATATCATTAATACATTCTTAAGATAAATGTAATGAGAATTTTTCGTACAATTCTTTTTTGGTAACTTTTCTTCCTTTGCGATATTTTTGTGTTTCAGTTTATTGTTACTCTTGCGACCCTCAACTTCGCAGCCACACAAGATTTCTTTCCAAACGTAGAGAGTCCTCTGGGAGGGTTGAAACTGACTGCGGAACGCGGAGGCCCACCCCCTGGGGCGGAGTATGTACCCATCAGTGTGATAGAACTCCCTGACGAAGCATTGGCACGGAGACCTGGAGGAACCCGACCAGTCCTAGGCCGTCCGCCGCCTCCGCCTCCCTTACGGCCTAAACCTACCCGGCGTCCGAGACCTAGACCACCAGTAGCTCCGCAGCCTCTGCCCATCCCTCTACCCTCCAGTCAGAGTATCCCCCAGAGGCCGCAGACTGGGAGTCTACCTAACAGACCCCCTGGAGTTATCGTGGTCACCCCTATGACGGAGATCCGCCCAGACCTGGAGACCGTGGTCACGACTACACCTCAACCACCAACCACAACCCCTAATACACTGGATACGCAGCCGTCCTACTACCAGAGGTTTATACAGAACGAGGATGGCAGTTATTATTTTGAGTGAGTAGACAATTTTTGTTTTGTTCGTATTGCAAATCTAAGTTAGATTGTTCGTCATTCTAATATGTTTACAAAGGGGGAGCGAGCTGGTCTAGTGGTTACAGCGTGGTACTTCGTTCCCTGAGGTCCCAGGTTCAAATCCAGCCAAATTACCGATGAATTTTATCTGAGTGATAATGCCCCCTAGATCTAGCCTGAATTAATGTGAAAACAATCCCGGGCTCGTGCCGATCGTCTTCGCAAAAAATTACAAAAGCGTATATGCTTCCACAGTTTGGCACACAATCAATTAAATACTCCAAAATATGTCTCACATGCGTAATTGATTTTCATAAAGGATTTGAAAAATATTTATTTGAAAAAAGTTATTCAATTTTAAAATTAACTCAACTGTTAGATAAGTTATACTCTTAGAGAAGATCAGCTTTCAATTTCAATTTACAACTGTTTAGTTGTATTTCAACAGGTTATTTTATGTATTTGAGTAAACTCATATCCAATTGGTGGACTAGTTAGTACAATAATCCTAAAATAGGTCGCATATACAATAGTTACTACATTAGGTCGTCTTTAACTAGTTACAATATACTCTAACTCGAATATTCCGTTTCAAATGATACTGGAGCTCTTACGCAAGTTGTGCACTGTAATTTAGTATAATATAGACCTAAAAAATATTTTTAAAAAACCCTCTTTTGTAAACTTGAAAATAGTTGTAAATAAAAATAAAGAAATGTGACGAGGTTTTACTACAACCTCTTTCCACGCCTCAAACAGCATTATCAAATACCCAGTTTATATTCTTGCATATAGTGACTAACTTTCTTGGAAAACTGCAATAACTTTATTTTTACACAGTTAACTTCAGTAAGGTAGCCCCCTTTTTTTACCGGTGAACCTCTCAATGTTAAAGCAAAGTAGGATAATGTTTTTATTTAAACAAAGAATAATAATGAATAAAAAATAAGGAAATTAATTAGTTGTTATTCTAATTGTTAATTTTTTTATCTTTTCATGAAAGACACAGAAGAATAAAAATCAATAACTTTACATTAATGTAATGTGTTCCATGTTTAGGCGATTGAAAATTCATGATTTTCAGAATACCGGAAATAAAATTAACGAGAAGTTATGTTGTAAGATATGTAAGTCATGACAGGTATTATAATATTAGTTAAGATAGGTTATGACAGGTATTATAATATTAGTTAAGATAGGTAGCTAGGGATTACTGTCAAGACATAGATTATGTTATACAAAGTCTCAATCGAAGACGTAATAACATTTCGGATCCTGTAAAGATGAGAAAACGTTTTTCGTGATAAGGACTGAAATTACTCAAAGCACAAATACGCAATCTCCTACAATGAACTCTACACAAAGAAAAAAGTTATAGTATATATAGAGATGTATTCTTCCCTAAGTGCCAATGTATTTTTGTAAAAAACACGTACCTATATTACAATCTGTTTGAGATAAGTGATGTGTTATCAAACTCTTCTCTGCTCCACAGCTACGCGGCTCCCAACAGCGTGCAGAGATTGGAACAAGGTTTCTTCAAGCGAGACGACTTCCAAGGGTTCAAGATCCTGGTGAAGTCAGGCGCTTACTCCTTCATCAGTCCTGAAGGGATCCGCTTCAGGACCGACTACGTGGCGGACGAGAAGGGATACAGACCGTTTACCGATTACCCGAGGGGAAATGAACGATTCTTTTTGAAAGGAGCCGATTCTCTTTGAGAACAGTTCTTTAGACCAAACGTCAACATCTAATAGCACAGTGTTAGGTTTTACAAATAGTATCTTGATGTTAAATTTAGTTTGGGAATTCAGTAACACCAGTTTTCTTTGATATTGTAAGAACGAAGGTCTTGCAGCCTTGATTGTTAAGGAGCTCCGATTTAATAACATATATTTTTACTACTTCCGGGTACAGGAAATAATCATATTTTGTAAAAATCCCGTACTTGAACCACACTGAAGAGTTAGTTTTCAATAAGTTACGAAATTCTCATTAAATTAAGAAAAGGTTGATGTTAGTGCTTTCAGTTTCTAGTGGGATGACATAGTTCGATTGCTAGATAAAAAATAAACCTCTTAGAAAAAGAGGGCTTTTGCTGACCTGAAGATAGTTTAAAGTATTCATATTTTATGGTAATGTACAGTTATTGGAAGGCTTTTAGGTCCCCTCGGATAAGTTGTTTTATCTGTACTTCGTTAAACTGAATTAGCTTAAAATACTGAGGAAAGTATTTTTCTTTTTGATCAATGGTTACCATTGAACGTAGAAACCCTTAATATGTTTCACTTTAATGTAAACCATGTTTGTCCAGAAAAATCCATGTCTTTGTTGTTGTTCTTTCTTTAACGTCCTAACTAAGCTAATTTATGTGTACTGTTTTATACACAAGCCAGCATATGTTGTGTTTGGCACAGTAGTTAACACTGGGTGGTAATTTAAATACTGTACAATGTATTTATTTAGTCTACATACAGTATGAAAATAAAATATCACTTCCTTAGGCTATGACTTCAATTAAATTAAAAACAAATTTGTACAGCTTATCGATGTTTTCTTGGTTTAAATAGTTGGATGTATGGTTTTACTTTTTTTTATATTAGAGCAGGTTTAATATAATTTTTTTCATTTTTCCCTATTCCGTAGGTTAAAATCAACGTTTATAGATAGCATTTTCTGTAAAAAAAGAATGTCTTTAAATTTCATTTTCCTACGCTTACATTAACTACTACTTCTCAAGTTTAAAAGGAATCATACATGTTTATATTTGCTCAACAATTTACAATTATAGCTTGTAGAGCTTATTTCATTATTAAGTACAATATTTTATCATAATTCTTACTTTCTACACCTCAATAATGTCCAGAATAATATCGGTCATGCTCATTTAAAAATTGAACATCGTACTATTTCGGTTGACCGTCACCAAAGCAATGTGTTAATAATTTACAGTCTTGGACTAATAAGATTGCTGGTTAGAGACCAACTATCTACACATTTTATTTCAAATATATTGTCACTGTGGACACCACTGCCTTACCATTAACGGCACATCGCTCTCTTTATTTATATCACCAGCAAGTGAGCCACTCGAAGACCTCTGTTACTGAAATCACCTGAGAAGTAATCTACTGATTTGCGGATAACATTACGTTTCCACATATTCCAGTTGTAACAGTTTAACACCTAATAACGACATGTTGACTGGTTTATCATCCATCGCGGATAATTTGGCGCTCGTAAATAGTGAGCTTGGCGGGACAGCTTACAGGATCAGCTGGTTTGGACCAGTCACGATCAGCTGTTTCAGGTCATAAACATCAGCTGTGCGTGTGGGACGTCCAATCAGCTGATTGAGTTGAACTCTGGGAATAGATTGTGAGGTAATAGTCTGTTGTCAAAATTTGGAAACGATGTTGAAGGTTCATCTTTACACAAAAATAAGAAATAGAAATTTGAAAAATCAGTCTCTAATATTTAAAAAGGTCCAAGCAGTATTTTGTTTATTTTGGCTTATTTGTTTTTCCGTTTTATAAATTGCTATTTTTTTCAAAATTGAGGACAGTATGTTTAATAAAAGGACGACACACCACTGGTGTGATTTAGCTTTTAAGTATTAAAAGCAGATAAGTTTTAAGTATCAAGTCATAAAGAAAATATCCTAAGAGACATTCATGGTGATAAAAAAAAATTGCGTATAAAATTTAAAGCTTATACTTTATACAGTTTGATTCTTGTAATAATTCAACTGGTTTTTAGATTGGGTGTAACGTAGTTGAATCATGTTTTAAGAGACTTTGTTTCTAAACACTTAAAAATCAAAATTTGGCCCTTATCGAAATTCAGTTTTAACGCAGAAAAAACTCCGGACAACATCCTGTCCCCCTGATTATTTCTCTTCACGGGTACAGTTAAAAGAGGGCTTGGGGGCGGACCCCTCAGCGAGCATATGCGAGTATATTTAATTTCATTCACATAGATATTGGTCTGGCTCTCTATATTTTTGTTGCTGACCAAAAATAGCCCAAAGTCCATAAATATAAATTTCCTGAAAACACAACCGTTAATAATAATTGGTCCTAACTTCTAAACTTTGTCTATTTACAAAGTTTCACAATACATTGACAAATAATACGAGCAAAATGTGTATTGTAAAACATTATTTACCAGTACGTTACGTTGTGATCTTACAGTTTACGGTTATTTCTTGATTGTGTGGGCTAAATAATGCAAAGATTTGAACTATACTACCTAATTCTCCTTAAGAGCACTGGAGTTTCATTCTTTTATCTTCTGATCCATCTCCAGAACATAATGTAAAGTCTCGGACGCTCTCTCTCTCTCGCTCGCTCTCTGTAAAGTCTCGGATGGATGGAGGAATAGATGATGATGTATGTGAATGTGAAGACATTAACACTTGTGAGTCGCTCAGGTCTTCGGAAATGAAGCCAAGGACATATACGTGGGTGAACCACAAAGTGCATCCTGATGCAGGACAACTTTCATAGAACCGCTGAATTATCCCTGGATTTGGAACTAGAGCAAGTTAAATGCAACTTGCGAGTTGTTGGATATTGTATGTCTAAGAGTGAACATGTGAAGCTATAAAGTAGTCATAAGGATAACCATTCTTTAGTTTTAACTAGTGTGAAATATCAAAGGTATGTGCGATTGAATATCCCTTTTGTCATTTAATTAGTAAGTGTGCAGTATGTAATAACACACCCCGTTATTATTGTGAAAGATTTTTATATTATTTTAAGAACGTCTGAATTACTGTAGAAATATTCTTGTCAATGAAGGAAAAGGTTTTGAGAAGAAATTTCATGTTTCAAACATGGAAAATGACCAAGTGGTTTGAAACGTCTGTGGATGTTAAAATGTGCTGCTATATGTACGTAGTAAATTTTAAGAACTTTATGGTTTACACAGAACATATCTTGCTCGTAACTCTTAACTGATTATTGTTCTATTGAATTTCAAATGCTCATAACTTTCAACACACTAAAAATAAAGACCAAAACTAGCCTATATAACAAATTCTGACTCGAGGGTCCAGAATGTTGAGGAGGAAGGTTATCCAAAATCCAGTAAAACCCAAATAAAAACTAACAAAGTTTCAGTAAATGTGCAAGTCTTTTTTGAGACTGCGGCCTATTTTACCTTGCAATGGTTTACCTCTTTGTGCCTGTTCACATGGGTTAGTTAAAGAAATCTATGCCAGATCGAATCATTCATAATAAAGGGTGAAAGGATACAATACAAGAAAGAACCACACAGAAAATCACACTCCCATACATTAACAACCGAACCACCAACCAACAAAGCTTTGGAAAATACTTATTTCTGAAAATGTTATTTTAGTTTATTTTAGTTTAGAATTGCAACCTTCAACGTTTTTTCATTTGTTGATATTACTCTTGTCATAAAACAAATACAAACTAAATCTAAGACATGTACTTTGTGAAATTTAAGGTTTAAATCCCTAAATGATAGTTATTGTAAAACTTATTTCATTTGTGAATGATATGGATATATTGATTTTGTGATAAGTTACATAAGTTATTGACCAAGTAAAAAGTTTGACCTCTTCATTTGCATCTGTCTTGCCTTCTGTAACTGGTTTCGAATTACCAAACAGTAATGAACCAACCTGCTAAATTATTCATATTTAGGATTCCGAGTTGAAACACTATTTCATGCATTTCACCCACAGCTGAGGGATTTCAATTTTATTAATGTTCACACCGACATTGTTGACTTATTTATGAAGTTAAATTAGATTCGCCTACTAGTTAGTTGTTAGCCATCTGCATTGATAAAGTTTCAAAATATTTTGTCAGTCATGTTATAATTTGTATGGAACTCAAGAGCTTTTTATGATGGTTGTATTGTAATACAAGTAAAAAGATAAAAATATCACACATTGTTATTCAATTTTTCATGATTATTGTTATAAAACATATTAAGTTTAGCAGTAGAGCTTAAAGTACAAATTGTAATTTTTTATGAGATAACATACCAATATTTTTTTTATTGAAATAGTGCAAAAAAATGCTTATGACTTTGGCCTGATTGAATAATTAAACGTTCTACCTCAGGCCACTGATAAGTAATGGTATGGAACCATTTTTTGTCCTAGGATGATAGTCACGAGGAGCTTGGGATGGTTTTTCACATTACTTCAGGCTAGGCCTAGGGGTTGTGGCATCATCACTTAGATAAAATTCATTGGCGATTTGGCAGGACATGAACCCGGGATCTCTTGGACCAAAGCCCTGCGTTCTGATTACAAGACCAGCTTGCTCCCCGGCATAGAACCTTAGCAGTTGAATTGTGTTGAGATAGTTTGTGTACAACAGATAGGCTTAATAAGCCATAGGTTATTTTTTATCTTCATGCGATTCAAATTAGATGCTCCTAGTTACAAAATTACAGAAATCTTAAATATCATGTACTTTACGTATCTATATAAACTGTCTGAATAAAATTTCAACAAAGTTTACTAATACTAAGTTCACAATAATGTGAGTTTTAGTTTTATGAATGACTGGCTTGTTTCTCATCTAAAAATAAAAAAAGTGTGAAATCGTCTCTCAGCAAAAAGAAACAAGAACAACTCCGAAGGCCACACGCTTCTTTAAGCAGGATGACTTCAGTATTTCCGACCGTTGCAGTCTCCAGGTCGTAATTGCTAACTACTGGATGATACTTCACCGTG